TTTATCAAATTAACCTGGACGTTTAATCCTCATTTAGCTTAATTATTCTGTTGTACTTAAAACAAGTTTTGCTTCCGTTTTCCACATTTTTGCTATCCACTAAAGCAAAAAGGACTGGACAAATAGAGAAAATACTACAAAATGTTAATTAAAAACAACATTTATGTTGCTTCTTAAATCACCTTGCAAACATTAATGAGTTCTGCCTCACCACAACTTCTGTAAGGCAGATGATAATATTCCTTTTTTACTCCTACAGACTTCTGCTGTAACCATTAATTCACACCTCTTTCCCCATTTAAAAAAAATACATATATTTCTATGCAGCATAATAAACAGAAAATGTTATAAATTAGAAATGTAAATGTGGCAATATGTTCTGAAATGATAATAAACCACAGGCACACCATTTCTTTAAGGCTATATTTAGAAGGCCTGGCATCTTTAGGTTACAGAGAAATGCATATTAAAATGGAGCATATATGGTAAATGATCCCTCATTCCAATTGTTAGCCTTATAAAAAGGTGCATGCCTGCAGTGAAGTTCATGCACTGACCTGGTTCTTTTCATGGACAGAACAGAAAGCACTGAGGAGTACCCTAATGATGGGCAAGTGATTATAACGAGCAGCAACGTGCAAACAGGTATCTCCTGCCTGCAAACAGAAACAAAGCTCTAAGCATGTTGTCATAATAGAAAAGCTAATGCTTGTCAGGGTGTTTGGGTATGAAAGAAGCTATTAAACACTAAACTGGAGATGTAGTGAATGACATGGAAGCATCTTTACTGAATTATTTCTCTGGGGGTCAAATGACTTAGTTGCTTTCTACTTATTTTTTGCTCTGAAAGCTAATGAAACAAAATGACTGCTTCTGTTGTTGTATAGTGAGTGTTTATTCTCCAGAGACGTGCAGAAGATGTAGGTCAAGGAAGCTATGGACTAGATCTTCAGCTAGTATAAACTGTCATAACTCCATTGAAGATCCATTAAGGATCTGGCCCTATGTTTCCTATATGTAGACAGCATTGTTAACGACTTCTTTGCATATGTGCAACGTGCTTCAGGTGGCACAGAATTTATCATCACCGAAGTTGGTCTGCTCACTGGATTACTAGCTTCTCTGGCTCAGGCTGGGTACTGACAGGGAGTGCAACATAAACACTGTTCCATTCCCCCCAACACTGTTAACAAGGAAAGGAAAGGAAAGGAAAGGAAAGGAAAGGAAGAGACTAACTGCCCTTGAACACATCTCAAGCATTATCAACCTGAGACAAATTTGAGGGGGGGCACAATTTGCTTCACACAAATTGCTTAAATTACTTCATAGAGGAAGTAGGTGGGAAGGTGGGGGAGAAATTATGCCTGGTAAGAGGGATCAGGAAGTAGCATATCCCAGAGACTTTTTTAACAAGCCAGTTCCAGTACAGTACCTGCTGATTGGTGCACAATGAATAATCACGGCTGGAGAGATTTAGCAATCTCCAGAGAGGGGGTATGGATTCCAAATGAGGCAAAGAAATTCCTTTTTCTATTTCAACATTGTCTTCTTATAGTATGTATACATTAGAGGAGCTGGTCTGTATTTATAAATCATGTCTATTCTACTGAAATCAAAACCAATACTGTATAGCAACATAACGAGAATGGGACTAGTATGACCTACAGAAAGGTCACCGATATACACACAGTTCACAAAGTCCTTGGACATGGGCTGGAAATTCTATAGTGAATGCAAAACACAAGGCCTCAAGCATTTAGATTACAGATTGACCCTCCCTGGCCCAGCACTCTGGGAACCTTACTGGTCTTAGATGAGGATTTTTGCCAGACTAGGGGAGGTCATTTCTGGACCCCTGCCACCAACCCTCCAGCCCAGCCCTCTGGCTTCCCGGATAGCTCCCCACCTCCTGTTGGCCCTGCTGACCTCAGTGGGCAGCCACTGCTGCCATGGCTCCGGGTAGCCACGCACGCCTCACTGGGGCTCTGAGACCCTCTGGGCAGCTGCAACATGCTACGTTGGAGCTCCAAGACCTGCTGTGCAGCTCTGTGCCGTGGCTCCCTGCCCCACCGAGCTACTGTGGCTTCCAGCTCTGCCGGGCAGCGCTTGCTGCGGGCAGCCCGGCCAGCAGGGATCCTTACCACTGGCTCTCCACCAGGACTCTGTGGTCCTGCAACATGCTTGCTGGACCATTGATGTTGCCAGCCCAGAGAATCCTGGTTAAGAGACTTTCAAACTGTACTATGCTCTTTTGCTGGCTTTACAAAACTCATGTATGTCTGGCTTCATTTTTTAGATGCTGTGCCTATTTTATGCCAGACCCCACAAAAAAGGCAGGAAAGCCATTTGAAAACCACATGAAGTTCTTTGGATAGACCCACACACAATGCCTATGTGCCCCAAGAGAGGAATGTCTCTGAAAGTGGAAATATTAGAGGGTTCTGTAGGAGTCCAAAAAATTCTTCAAATACAGCACAAATACTTCTGTTACAGTATTCAGGTGGGGCCATCCTATATCTTCAAATGAGCAACCAAGGACAGCTTGCATTCAGGTGTATATAACAGCAGAAAACAATGCATGCATCTTTTAATAGTTTTTTCTCCCTTGGTCTTCAAAACTATTATAAGCAATACCTTTATAAGTCTTACTATATTTTTTAATACCCACTGTTTAGTCATTTTGTTGTTATTTTTCTCCTAGTCATAACAAACAGAAAGACAAAGTTTGGTATTTTGAAAGCAGTATTTGCACAAGCTGAAACAGAATAATCATTTTGAAAAATCTGTTTTTTTAAACTTACATTATTTTTTAGATCTGCCCGAGATCCTCCAAGTAACAAAACACGAGTACTTTGAGAGTGGCTATTTTGGCAGGCCAAGTGCAGAGGTGTGTTACCTGCCTTAGGAAAGAGACAGAAAAATACAAATGACATCTTTAGAAAATTAACATAAGTCAAAAAACAAAGCAAGCAAATACGACCACCCCATCTCAATACACAATGTATGTCTCACTGCTGAATTTTAAACTTTTAAAACTATAAATGACTTCTGATCAGTCACTGATGAAAAGTGAACCTGTAACCTTGTTTCTGGTCGCATCACAAAACCTACCCAAGTATGTTGTTGGTTTTCTCAGCAAAAAACAAGCTATGGATCGAATGGGCCTGGAGACAGAGCTACCCTCTTTGCCACAGAGATGTTTCCTTTAGGACACAGCAGAGGCAGGTATTGAGAGTAGGAGAAGTTTGCACTATCACGGCCAGTGTTCAGGGAGCAAATGATAAACTTCCATTTCCAAAATAATTCAGCAACAGTTGCAAGCATCAAATTCAATGAATATTTTAAAAGCACGTAATTTAAGTAAATAAAACTCCCTATGACTAATTAATCTGCAGTACATAGCCCCTTTTTGTATCTGGTAATCATATTAGCTAGATGACACTGTTCTCCTAGAATTTTTCCTAGTTACTTCCTAGAACTTCTCCAAGCCAATGCACTTAATTTGTTGCAGTTTTTAAAATTTAACATTTTGAATTTAAAAAAACATGTAACTATGAAAATGTTTATATCATGACCTTGCCAGAGCGTATACAGGCAGTCCCCGAGTTATGCAGATCCGACTTATGTCGGATCCGCACTTACAAACGGGGCTTTTCTCGCCCCGGAGCTCGCGGGTGGCGGGACCACCCAGACGCGCAGTGGTCCCGCCACCGCGTCTTCCGGGGAGAGAAAAGCTGCTCCGGATTTCCCTGGTCTGTTGGGGGGGTCCCCAGCAGACCAGGGACACCCCGAGCAAAGCCGCAGAGACGGCGGGA